TTTGGACTAGTCCCATTTCAGGTGCTCAGTGCTACCTGGCACTTGTGTTATACTGGACCTTGCAGCTCTAGGGAAAGGGTGCCCCAATTCCTTGTTCTGTAGGGGGCACTTGGCACCTAGGACTGAGGGCAGTTCTCTTTACATAAATCTGGTAGTGTTTTCTTATTTAGCTGATGCAGAGAATGGTTTTCTCTCTTTCTCTTTATAATTAGAGGTGGTGGCCATTATCACTTTCACAATGTTCATATGTACATAAAATGAATAGGAGACACTTGTTAAGAGGTTTTTTTTTCCTTTTCTATTTATTTATTTATTTTATTTATTTATTTTGTTTTGAGACGGAGTCTTGCTTTGTCACCCAGGCCGGAGTGTAGTGGCATGATCTTGGCTCACTGCAACCTCTGCCTCCCTGGTTCAAATGATTCTCCTGCCTCAGCCTGCCGAGTAGCTGGACTACAGGCACCCGCCACCACGTTCGGCTAATTCTTGTATTTTTAGTAGAGGTGGGGTCTCACCATTTTGGCCAGGCTGGTCTCGAAGTCTTGACCTCAGGTCATCCACCTGCCTCAGCCTCCCAAAGTGCTGGAATTACAGGTGTGAACCACTCCGCCCAGCCTTCTTTTCCATTTAAAACTTAACTGCATTTTACTCATTCAGCATGTTGCTGCTTTCCTTTATCCTCAGGAGTGATATCCTAGTAAATTTGTTTGCACAAATGAATTAAACACCACCACCCCCCAAGTTATTGACCTATGCTTTTCCAAAAGCTAATGCTTTCATTTCTCATCTTGAGTAATTACTAGCTCTACAATCTTTCTGTTCCCCACTTTGGAAAAGTTTCCGTGCTCTATTATGTTGGATAATGTCTAGTGGATATTTTTCTTCCTAGAGGAACTTTTTTTTGAGTTAATTTAATTGCATGCAAATTTTTAAACTGGCCCATTCTCTCAAATGGGGAAAAATATCTAGAAAGTGGAATGCTGTTTTTGTTTGGATTAGAACAGCAGTTTCATCTGGGATGCCTAGGATAAACATTTTGTATCAGATAGAGTTGCCAGATTTAGGTTAGGGGCCTAGGGGAGGAAGCACCAGTTAAATTTGAATTTCATATTTCATATAAACATTGAATAACTTTTTTCAGCGTAAGTGTGCTCCATGATGTAATATTTGGGGCATACTCTTAAAAATATTTATTGTTGATCTGAAATTTAAATTTAACTGGATGTACTGTGTTTTAAATGGCAATCTTATTTCAGGACTCCTTTGCTCTCTAAAATATTGAGGCCCTTAAGCAACTTTTATTTATGTCAATTATATGTATCGATATTTGCTGAATTACAAATTTAAACTAAGAAATATAGCCTGGGTGCAGTGACTCAGGCCTGTAATCCCAACAGTTTGGAAGGCCAAGGCGGGAGGATCACCTGAGGTCAGGAGTTCGAGACCAGCCTGGCCAACATAGTGAAACCCTGTCTCTACTAAAAATACAAAAATTAGCCAGACGTGGTTCTGGGCACCTGTAGAGTAATCCCATTACTTGGGAGGCTGAGGCAGGAGAATTGCAACCCAGGAGGTGGAGGTTGCAGTGAGCCGAGATCACACCACTGCACTCCAGCCTGGGCAATAGAGCTAGATTCCATCTCATGAAAAGAAAAGAAATATTTTAGACTAGGCATGATAACTCATGCCTTTAGTTCCAACACTTTGGGAGGCCAAGACAGACAGATCGCTTGAGCCCGGGAGTTCGGAACCATCCTGGGCAAAACGGCAAAACTTCGTCTCTACAAAAAATACAAAAATTAGCTGAGTTTGGTGGTGCGTGCATGTAGTCCCAGCTACTCAGGAGGCTGAGGTGGGAGGATCACCTGAGCCCAGGAGGTTGAGACTGCAGTGACCCATGATCCCACCACTGCATTCCAGCCTTGTCAATAGAGACCCTTTCTCAAAAAAAAAAAAAAGAAATATCTTAATGTATATTAATTCATTTAGACTGTAATAAACCATATTAACATAAATGACATTTTTTAAAAAACAGTTTTTCAAAACAAAAATAGTAAGAAGGGTGCCATTGTTTTCTTTTTCTTTTTTCTTTTTCTTTTTTTTTTTCTTGAGACGGAGTCTCGCTCTGTCACCCAGGCTGGAGTGCAGTGGCCGGATCTCAGCTCACTGCAAGCTCCGTCTCCCGGGTTCACGCCATTCTCCTGGCTCAGCCTCCCAAGTAGCTGGGACTGCAGGCGCCCGCCACCTCACCCGGCTAGTTTTTTGTATTTTTTAATAGAGACGGGGTTTCACTGTGTTAACCAGGATGGTCTCGATCTCCTGACCTCGAGATCCGCCCACCTTGGCCTCCCAAAGTGCTGGGATTACAGGCTTGAGCCACCGCGCCCGGCCCTTTTTTTTCTTTTTTTGAGACGGAGTTTTGCTCCTGTCACCCAGGCTGGAATGCAGTGGCTCACTGGTGACCTCCGCCTCCCAGGTTCAAGTGATTCTCCTGCCTCAGTCTCCTGAGTAGTTGGGACTGCAGGCGCGCGCCACCATGCCCAGCTAATTTTTGTATTTTTAGTAGAGACAGGGTTTCACCATGTTGGCTAGGCTGGTCTCAAACTCCTGACCTCAGGTGATCCACCTGCCTCAACCTCCCAAAGTGCTGGGATTACAGGTGTGAGCCACCGCACCCGGCCAGAGTGTCATTGTTTTCTATTTTGGCGATTCTTTTAATATCTGGCTGGATTCTCATATCTCTTTCTGTGTTCCATCAGGTGTGCTATTACAAAAGCAGGTACTGTCTGGAACTCTACTGAAATACGAGTGACAGGTGTGGGGAAGAAAGTGGCACAAAGCAAGTAACATCTTAGTATTGTTATAAAAATAGTTTGACCATATGGATCTTCTGAAAGGGTCTCGGGTGCCTCTTCTGGGGTCCCCCAAGCATGCTTTTAGAATCACTGGACTAGGAATAAGAGACTGTAATTCTAGCTTGTGTTTTTGCGGTGATTATAAATAATCAGAATAGAGGGTAGGCTGTTTGTTTTTTGTTTTTTTTTTTTTTTTGAGATGGAGTCTCGCTCTGTCGCCCAGGCTGGAGTGCAGAGGTATGATCTCGGCTCACCACAACCTCCGTCTCCTGGGTTCAAGCAATTCTTCTGCCTCAGCCTCCTTCATAGCTGGAAGTACAGGTGCCTGCCAACATGGCTGGCTAATTTTTTTTGTATTTTTAGTAGAGACGAAGTTTCACCATGTTGGCCAGGCTGGTCTTGAACTCCTGACCTCAAGTGATCTGCCCACCTTGGCCTCCCAAAGTGCTGGGATTACAGGCATGAGCCACTGCAACCGGCTGAGGATAAGCATTCTTTTAAGAAGGACTGATGGCTCTAATATAAAACAGTTTAAGAACGATTATTCAGATTTAGCAATAATTTTTTCCTAAGTGATTTTTTTTTAAATACTATTCTATTATACTCAGCCATCCAAGTAAACAGGTATTATTTAAAAATCAAGGTAACACTCAACCTGTCAAATAGGTACATTGTCAACTTTCCCTTTAGAATCAACTTTTATTTAACTATTTAGAATACAGCTTAACATATGCTGATTGGGTTGAATTGCGTTTATTTTTGCAGTGTGTGTGTCTCTTCTAGGCAGAGTGCATACTGTCTAGTATTAGATGTGGGTAATCTAGTTTTTAAAGGAATTAGCATAACGCAGTCACTGATCTGATTCTTATCTCATTTAGAGATGGTGTAGAGGTCGTTGATAGGCCAAATGTAAGAGTGCACAGAGAAGTAAAAAATGAAAGATAGCTTCTTTAATTGCTTAAGTTGCTTGGGCAACTGTGAAAATGAAAGGGCTATTAACAAAAATAGAACAAAAAGAAGTGCCAGTTTGGAATAAAGATGGTAAGTTCAGTTTTGGGCTGGAAATGTGGGGTAGCTCAGGAGAGGAGCCAGCATGTGACAGGACTGAGAGAATTGTTCACATAGGAGTCAAAACATTTCCAAGGAAAACAGTGTAGAGAGAGCATGAAACTGATAAAAAAAAAAACTATCTATGAAGATTACTTCAGTTTGAGTTGGGGAAGAAAAGATGAAGAAAAGGAAGTTAATACAGGAGAAGAGGGCTTAAGAGAGCTAAGAAGAAGGGTGGGTGGTCAGCCGCATCAGTCAATTACTGTACTGAGATCGACGAATGATAATTGGTTCTTTTTTGAGAATAGAGTCTCACTGTGTCACCAGGCTATATATTCCAGGAGAGCAGTCTCAGCTCACTGCAACCTCCACCTCCCAGAGATTCTCTTGTGTCTCAGCCTCTCGAGTAGCTGAGATTACAGGCATGCACCACCATGCCCAGCTAATTTTTTGTGTTTTTGGTAGAGACAGGGTTTCACCATGTTGTCTAGGCTGGTCCCGAACTCCTGGTCTCAAGTGATCCACTCATCTCGGCCTCCCAAAGTGCTAGGATTACAGGCCTGAGCCACCGTGCCCAGCTGATAATTGGTTGTTAAATTTGGAACTGCAAAGTCCTGGTTACCTTAGAGAGAGTATTGTTTTGATAAGTTTTTATTATTTCACTTTTGGGTTTGAGAAACATGAAACAGAAGTTTTTGACTTGTCTGGAACAGCACAGATTCCAGAAGGACTAACTCCAGCTCTGACTGGTCCCTTTCCTCCTTCACTGGGGCCATTTACACTGTGTTAATTAAGCTAATTGAGATACTGCTAAAAAACTTACTCCAGCAGAATTCACTTCCTGAAATATTCAACCTTATTTTAGAGGGAAAAGTTTGTTTTTAGATAGAATGTTTACATTTTAGGTAGAGCACTGGCCTTAGAGTCAGCAGATGTGCATTCCAGCGCTGCTGCTCCTTAACCTCTCTGGGGCCCCCATTTCCTCTTCAGTTGAATTTGGGAGTTGGGCTAGATTATCTCTTAGGCTATGCTAAAATTATGATGTTAGTGACATTTGTCTCTTTTTTCCCTTTTGGTTTTGCTTTATTTTAATAGGTTCACCAAGTTGAAGAGTCTTAATCTTTCCAATAATCATTTAGGGGACTTCCCACTAGCAGTCTGCAGTATTCCAACCCTGGCAGAGCTGAATGTGTCCTGCAATGCCCTGCGATCGGTCCCAGCAGCCGTTGGAGTGATGCACAAGTGTGTACCTCAAACCCCACTGGCGGGTATATCCAGAGACCCCAGGGAAGCTGCATTGGGGGTGTAGCACATGAGATTAGTTAACTTGTTATGTTGGTCATGTAAGTCTTGGCCCCAAATCAACAGATCAGGGACTGTATAGTCTGTATGGAGTTCATGTGTTAGATTTGTATTCTTTACGATCTTGTAAAAAATTAAATATTCTTGTTTAGAACTGAAGATCCCTGCAAATGAGTATGTCTAAACATGGAATGTGGGTTATGTTCTCATTTTTCTGAGTTATATTGAATTCAAAGACTTAGAAATTAATTTTGAGAAATAATAAGGAAAGCCCAAAGGATATCTGAATCAATTTATATCACAGTTAGCTCATGTTGCTCCCATTTAAGCCTATTCAGATTGGGAAAGCTAGTCATAATTTTCATTTTCAATAAAAGATTAAGATGCTTATCTCTGATTATTTCTCTTTGGTCCGTTATTGCCTCAGGCCCTGCCCTTAGGCATTTTGCAAAGAGTAATACATTTTCTGGTAATACGATCTACACTATGGAACTTGTATGTTGATAATAAAGATGTAAAATTTATACATTCTCTTTGTAATTCTTATGTTTTCTCTAATAGCTTACAGACATTTTTGTTGGATGGAAACTTTCTCCAAACCCTTCCTGCTGAGTTGGAGAACATGAAGCAGCTTAGTTATCTGGGTCTTTCTTTCAATGAATTTACTGACATTCCAGAAGTATTGGAGAAATTGACTGCTGTGGATAAACTTTGTATGTCCGGAAACTGTATGGAGACCCTTAGGCTACAGGCTTTAAGAAAAATGCCTCACATTAAACATGTGGATCTAAGGTAACCATTTTTGAGAAATAGATCTCATTTGAGCTGTTGGCTTATATTGCAGGGGTGGGGAGTAGGTTATTGACCAAGTCAAACAGGCTGGATAATTGAATGTGGACCCATTTTTCTATTTCTGCCTAGAGGGAAGAATTATGATTAATAGTAGGGTTTGCTGTTACTGGAGACTTTCTCACTGATGTATGTCTTGAAGGTCTTTGTTTTGCAAATTGGAACCCAGTTGAGTGAGAGAGCTATTTTTTGGTTTTGTTTTGTATTTTTTGTTGTTGTTGCTGTTTTTAAAGAAATAGGGCCTTGCTCTCTTGCCCCGCCTGGAGTGCAGTGATGTGCTCAGAGCTCTCTTTAGCCTCAAACTCCTGGGCTCAGGTGATCTTCCTGCCTCAGCCTCCCAAATACTCAGGCGTGTTCAGTTTCATCAGTGTAAAGTAGCATCACCTTTTGCTCCCTTTCTTCTCCATTCGTATGGCTCAGCCAAGGAAACCCATACCTTCCAGTCCCACAAAGAATTGCTTGGCTTCACCTTTCCTCAGAATAAAGGAATCAGACCTGTCCTTCCTAGGGAAGTATTAGCAATTTGCAGATATAAAATTCTTAATTTGGAAGTTAAAGTAATTATAATTTATCTGATTTTTGAGAATTTCTTGGAATGTAACAAGATAAGGAACTCTAAACACTTTGTTAACTTGCTTTCCAAATTGTTTACATTATTCGCCTCTGAGTTCCTTCTATTTAGAAAACCCTCATATTCCAGAATTTAAGCCCTATTTTATTCATCCACCAGTGGTAGAACTTCATTAGAGCCAAGGACAATGGCTTGCACTGACCTCAGGTAACAAGAATGAGATGATTTCCGAGTTACCTGGTACATGAAGGAAGACATTTTTCTTGGTGTGAATTAGCTGACACATAAGATCAATCTAAAATGTCTACAAGTAATAAATCTTAGAACTTTATAAATTCTTAAGATTCGTAGTTCTAACTTGAGTCTTTTTAGATGACATCACCTACAGGATATTTAAATACCAGAATAGACATTAGACACTCTGTAAATGTTGCATGACCATGAGTAACTGCTTCCTTCCTTGCCCCTGAGCTGAGGAGGGGAAAATCAGATCAGATTTGTTCTAATTCTGCCTTAATACTTTATTTGTTGTTTATTGTTTTTGTTTTTGCTTCTGTTTTTGTTTTTGTTTTTTGAGACAAGAGTCTCTGTCGCCCAGGCTGGAGTGCAGTGGCATGATCTCAGCTCACTGCAGCCTCCACCTCCTGGATTGAAGAGATTCTCCTCCCTCAACCTCCTGAGTAGCTGGGATTACAGGTGCCTGCCACCACACCTGGCTAGTTTTTATATTTTTAGTAAAGACAGGTCTCACCATGTTGGCCAGGCTGGTCTTGAACTCCTGACCTCAGGTGATCCACCTGCCTCGACTTCTCAAAGTGCTGGAATTAAAGACATAAGCCACCACACCCAGCCTAATTCTGCCTTAATACTTAAAATCAAAGCTAGTGGAGTAATTTAAGGAGAGTCTCGCTTAGTTTCTCTAAGTAAAGGGCTACTTTTGTTGAGTTTTTTTTTCCCCCCTTAATGGAAATGTTACATCAGATTAAGTGATTATTGTTTTCTTTGTATTGATATTCTTTGAGTTTCATATTATTTCTTCTGTGGCATCATTAATAATTCCTCCTCCCCTCTCCTCCTTCTCCTTCTCTTTCTCCTCTTTGTACAAAGTATGGCTGTTACTTGTTGGTCACTTCTCTTTCTCTCCATGTTTTCTGCCTTGGTGGTTGCATATACTCTCAGGTTTCATTTTCACCTTTCACCTTGATGTTAATCATTCCCCAGTCTTTCCCTATTCCTTCTTTGACTTCTTGAGACCAGTTCCACTTAAGCTGCTAGCTAGATAACGTCTTGGTTTTCCCTATTGACACATTTAACCAAATACACGTAAAACAGGGTTCAGTGTCTTTCTTACTCAACCAGTTCTTTCTCATGGATTTCTGTTTTTGCTGATAGCAACACCACCTCATTGGTCTTCCAGACACACAACTCTTGGCTGATTCTATCAGCTCTTCTTTTACACGAGTTTCTCTCTTTCATCGCTTCCTTTTTCTTCTCACTGTGACTGTTGTCTTCTAACTGAGCCATTTGCTTCCTTTGTGCAACCTCCCAAGCAAGCACAATTTTGCTCAGAGCCTGCGGTTCTCTACTTCAGGGTATTCAAGCCCTCATATTTGGTTTCAGCCCACTGGTATGTGAGTCCTTTGAGGATGAGGCTATATCTCTGAGCTGCTCATGTGTGAGCCTCCAACCTGTGGGTGGCAAGTGAACTATTCGCGACTTTTCCACAATGAGATGTGTACAGAAGTTGAGACTAATATTTTAGTAACGTATAATGATTTGACATTGCCACAATATCCAACTGCATTATGAGTTGATTCTTGTTGTACAGGGAATCAACTAGTATATTTTATTTTATTTATTATTGTTATTATTATTATTATTTTTTGAGACAGAATTTCGCTCTTGTTGTCCAGACTGGAGTGCAGTGGTGCGATCTCGGATCACTGCAACCTCTGCCTCCCAGATTCAAGCGATTTTCCTGCCTCAGCCTCCCAAGTAGCTGGAATTTCAGGCTCCCATCACCATGACCGGCTAATTTTTTGTAGTTTTAGTAGAGACAGGGTTTCACCATGTTAGCCAGGCTGGTCTTGAACTCCCGATCTCAAGTGATTCACCTGCCTCAGCCTCCCAAAGTGCTGGGATTACAGCCATGAGCCACCGCACCCGACCTCAACTAATTTAGATGTCAAACTTGCACAGTGAGTTGCATGTGGTGTGAGCTGTGTATGGGTTGAGTACTATATATCAGTCTGTCATGAATTACAACTTTAGAAAATAGGTCTCTTTCACCATAGATAATTTAAGCACTGTTTTTATTTATCCTTCAGCCCCAGTGTTAGTCCTTAGTGTGTCCAGTCCTTGGTAAATATTAATTGCCTCACCCACCTTTGTAGCCCAGAGCCTCACATCCCCTGCATTCCTGCAGAAACTATACAGGCAGGTACGAAACTTACCCTGTGCTGTTTTCTTTGATGCAGAGGCTGTTCCATTGCTTCCTTGCACCTGCTTTTCTTCTCCCATGAACACCTGTTCCATTCTGCCCACTCTTGGGAATCAGATGAGTTGCTTCCTTTTCCATAGCCTCTTTTTTTTTTTTTAAACCATTCTCTACATTTTATACATCACCCATGGCACTTATCACATACTTGTATTTCCTGTATTTCATAAAGCATATTTGACTCTCTTTACTAAATTGTGAAATCTGTTGAAAAACACCTTGTTTTATTCATCTCTTACTGCAACAAAGCCATAGGTCATCATCGTTGTCACCATCACCGTAGCCCTTCACAGGCTGGAGTGCAGTGGTACAAACACAGCTCACTATAGCCTCCATCTCCTGGACTTAAGTGATCCCCCTACCTCAGCCTCCCGTGTAGCTAGGATGACAAGTACACACTACCACACTTGGCTAATTTTTAAATTTTTTGGAGAGAGGGGCCTCACTTTGTTGCCTCGCTGGCTCAAACTCCTGGGCTCAAGCTGTTCTTCTGCCTCAGACTCCCCAGGTGCTGAGAATACAGGCGTGAGTCACAATGCCTGGCCAGAAGGGAATTTTAGTCATATTTTGCCTCTTAAAAAGTTTGTCCGGGCCAGGCGTGGTGGCTCATGCCTATAATCTCAGCACTTTGGGAGGCTGAGGCAGGTGGATCACCTGAGGTCAGGAGTTCAAGACCAGCCTGGCCAACATGGTGAAACCCCACCTCTACTAAAAATGCAAAAATTAGCTGGGCATAGTGGTGTGCACCTGTAGTCCCAGCTATTCAGAAGGCTGAGGCAGAAGCCTTGTTTGAACCCGGGAGGTAGAGGTTGCAGTGGGCCAGGATTGCACCGCTGTGCTCCAGGCTGGGTGACAGAGCGAGACACTTTGTCTATAAATAAATAAATACATACATAAATAAATAGTTTGTCCTAGTCATGTCATGGTGACTGTGGTCAACAATATATTGTATTTGTTTGTGTTCTTGTTTTTTCTCTTTTTTTTCTTTTCTTTTCTTTTCTTCTTTTCTTTTCTTTTCTTTTCTTTTCTCTTCTTTTCTTTCTTCTCTTGAGACAGGGTCTCACTTTGTTACCCAAGCTGGAATGCAGTGGTGCAGTTACGGTTCACTGCAGCCCCAAACTCCTGGGTTCGAGTGATCCTCCTGCCCCAGCCTCTCAAATAGCTGGGAGTATAAGCATGTGCCACCACGGCTGGCTAATTTTTTTATTTTTTGTAGAGATGGGGTCTTGCTCTGTTGCCTAGTCTGGTCTCAAACGAACCTCCTACTTCAGCCTCCCAAAGAGTTAGGATTACAGAGTTTGAGCTACCACACCATGCCATAATATATAGTATTCTTGAACAATGCTAAGAGTGGATGTAAAGTATTCTCACCACAAAAGTAATAGCTATGTGAGATGGTGCACGTGAACTAGCTAGAATTAGTCATTTCACAGTGTACATATATTTCAAAAGTCATGCTGTACACAATAAATACGTACAGTTTTATCTGTCAATTAAACAAATAATAAAATGGTTCATCCTAAGTAGCTGAATTACTGTGTGAGCCTGAAAACTTGGTATTTCAGTCATGGTGAGAGTTAGCAACTTAAGCCAAATGTTAACTTTCCTTTTCGTTACATTAACTTTGTTTTTGTTATAGATTTTTTTTGTCTCCTTATTAAACCAACGCTTATTATTTTAGTATTAATACATAAAATTGTGTTAATTGAATGAAATTGTGTGCGGCTTTTTCAAGTGAAGATGATAAAGCCATTTTGAAGGTTATTCGAAGTGTAGATTGGGAAGAAGATGGACCTTTGTTCCATTCTTGCAGTCTGTTGTACCCAAGATGAGATGTGTTTTTTCTTTTTCATTCTGTGTGCACATTCTAGTAATCTAGTGAGCATTTGGAAATAGGCAGATTGCTGGGTTAAGGCCAGTTTTTAAATCTTACAACCTGGAATAAAAAAAGAGAAGGAGCCAAAAAAACATCCTCTTAGGGACATTGGAAAAGGCCATATGCTATGCTTGTGTGTTGACGAATCCCAGCTCTTTGCTGGAACTCATCCTTGTGTTTCAGTGGCTTTAGGATATTATTCTCAATTCATTTTCCATAGCTTTATTTTATTTTTTTAAAGATAGGAATTCACTACAGAGAAACTGCTTTTTCCTGTACTCCAGACTTAAATTAATACTCTTCTTTTTTTTGAGACAGAGTATCGCTCTGTCGCCCAGGCTAGAGTGCAGTGGCATGATCTTGGCTCACCACAACTTCCGCCTCCTGGGTTTAAGCAATTCTCCTGCCGCAGCCTCCCGAGTAGCTGGGATTACAGGCGCGTGCCACCATGCCCAGCTAATTTTTAATACTTTTTTTTAGTAGAGATGGGGTTTCACTGTGCTGGCCAGGCTGGTCTCGAACTCGTGACCTCGTGAACCGCCCACCTTGGCCTCCCAAAGTGTTGGGATTACAGGCGTGAGCCACTGCGCCCATCCTATATTAATACTCTTCTAGTCAAGGTCATCATCTCAGCACTTTACTGGCTTTGTAATGGAAAGTAGATGGTTTTTGTTGTGTGTTTCTAAAGGAGTTAGACATAGCCTAACAAACTGGAAATTGACATTTCCATCTATTTTTCTCCCTTTTGAAGCTAAATATGTCTTTGTTATTTTGGTTCGTAGTCCCCATTACTACTTATTTTCTGATAGCTCATCCACAGCAACTTCAGTCAGTTAACTCACTAGTTCTTATGACTAGAGATTCTGCCAGTTTTCCGCTGTGCCTTGCTTCATCGTAGAGGTGTTGATTCCCATTTTTCTCTATCATTCTATGATTTCTCAATAGATCTTAGATACCGGATTTCAGGATTTTCTGCACTTCACTCTATCAAGCAGTATTTTATAGATGGAGGTAGTTTTGGTGGTTCATCCTGGTCCTGAGCAGTTGGGAGTCATGTGCTTGCATTCCCATCTCTGGTGCTCCCATTCAGTGTGCAACTCTTATTTGTTATGTGACTCTGGTCCATTACTGTTTTTCCGCCTCAACCTTTAATTCCATCCTACTCATCCGCCTGCTCATGCATCCTCTCTCCTTCATTCAATATTCATTATAATTGTAATGTGCATAACAGTTGTTCTGAGTTTTGTTTCTTACGTTCTTTTCAGTATGGTGTAGATAGTTTCACAGTTCTTTGGAAGTCAGTTCCTAGTTCTTTGGAAGTCAATGCTTAAGTGGATTATTTTCCCCCTAGAAGTAAATTAAGGTAAAGTCAATGTGCTTATTCCTCTCCCAGCTGTAGTGGTGTCACTTGTGTTTCAGAATATATTGTGAAGGTTAAAACCTCCTGGAATTGTAGCTAAAAATAGATACTCTGGCTAGTTAAGCAAGGCCAGATGCTGAGATTCCAAAAATCATGGAGAACTGTAGTACAGAGAGAATTGAGTTCTTTCTTGCTATCTCTCGTATTAGGGTGTTTAGCATTGCAGTTAATTGTAGTCTCTATTTATGTCCTTTTCCTTCAAGGTTGAACATAATTAGGAAGCTGATAGCAGATGAAGTGGACTTTCTACAGCATGTTACTCAGCTTGACCTACGAGACAATAAACTTGGTGATCTAGATGCCATGATTTTCAACAACATTGAAGTTTTACACTGTGAAAGGAATCAACTGGTCACATTAGACATCTGTGGCTATTTCCTAAAAGCACTCTATGCCTCTTCTAATGGTATGTATCATAGGCCACATCAAAGTTGCTCTTTTGGTTCCAAGAATTTACCCAGCATCATTATTTCTGCCTCTCTGATTGTTCTTTGCTCAAGTAGTTAGTAAAATAGCTCAAATTTTGTTAAAATAAAAGTCACAAAACAAAAATGCTGAGGAATTTCAAGGAATCAAAAAGGAAGATTTTATTTTGCCTGTAAGTTACTCACACTTTTGATTTGGATTTTCTGCTTAAAGGAAGAGAGAAAAGAGAACTATTTCGTGGGCTACATTACCAAGATCTAGAGATCTTTACTACCTTATTACTAAATCTGGAACCTTTATTTAATACTGGAGAGTGAAAGGAAGTTTTATTTTGACTCCATTCAGGATTTCCAGTTTCATGTTTGACTAACAGAGAGCTCACCTTAAGATAAACCAGAATGTTAGCTGGGCATGGCGATGCATGCCTGTAGTCCCAGCTACTTGGGAATGGGAAGCTGAGGCAGGAGAATTGCTGGAGCCCAGGAGGTGGAGGCTGCCATGGTCTGAGATCACACTACTGCACTCCAGCCTGGTTGACAGAGTGAGACCCTGTCTAAAAAAAAAAAAAGAAAAGATAATTTAAAAAAGATAAACCAGAATGATATACCCACAAGGACACCATAAAGCAAGAGTCTTAATCATTTAATATTTCTTTCTAAGAATCTGAAAATCAGGGCAGTTCCAAAAAAGAAAAGGTAATATGGGCATATGTTTGCTAAGATGAAGGTTTCAATTCCCTGCAGTCATTAAACTGAATGAAAACAAGTGTTCACTACTGCACGTTGAACATATGTTTATCATGCACTTGTTTTATGCATAGTGCAGCTCACGAGCTCTGAAAGATGAAGGATTTTTCAAATGTGATTACTGTTATCTCAGAAAAACAAGCCAAACCTCATATAGGTATATTTTCTAATGTAATCAGTTTAGCTGAGCACTGAAGGGTTATAGGATTTAGATAACCAGTGGGAATGAAGTAGGAAGAAAAAATCTGAATGTGGCTTGTTGGGCAGTTGGGAGAAGATAGGGAATTCTGAACCCACAGATGTAATTAGGAGAGGCATGCTTATAGTCAGATAGTGAAGCATTGGCCTTAGTATAATAAGCAATAGAGAACCGGTAAAGACTCTAAAGTGGAGGAGACATGATGGAAGTGATGCTTTAAGGTGGTTAATGTGAAAAGAGTGTGTACAGAATGCATTTATAGGAGAAGGTTGAGGGTAATCCACTACTCCACTAATCCAAGTTATTGTGATGGGCTTTATTTGGGCTAATGGGAACTCGTAGTCAGGATTACAGATGTTGATTTGAGACTCATCTGCTCAGAGGTGATACCTGAAACCAGGGAAGTAAGGTAACTGGAAGAGAGGAGAGTACTAGTACCAAAGGTCTACTTACACACCCCTCACACTTAGCTGGAGCCAAACTGGGCAACCAGATAGGAGCTACACCTGTGAATTACTTGGTAACTGTTTAGAGAAGCAGAAGGACATTTACAAACTACTCTGCCCGAGAAACAAAGTTACAGGGGACGGTGGTGTCATATTTCATAAAGTTTTGAGGAAGAGTTTCAGATTTAAGTAAAATAAGTCATTTGTGACCCACTGGAGTGCTGTTTCAGTAAGGTGATGAGGGCAAAAAACAAGAAGCATTATTTGGTTTTATGGAAGGACACTTGGGTTTTGAAAGGATGGCACTTGTGGTTAATCCTTCAGGTGTAGTACAGCCTCCATAACAATAAGAGAGCAACAGTAAATAGATAGAAAAGAGGTAGGAAATTAGAATGCGTGATTTATTTCAATCTCTGAAGAAGATCTTGTGATTAAAAGTTCTTTTTTACTTTTCTGTACTTTTAAAGTTGAACAAATGATGTATTGTACTTCCTAAACTAAACAAACAATAGAGAATAAAGCACAGTAATGATGTTCCACATACAAAAAGAGTCTCTGTCATTTGGATAGTAATGTCTTTGTGTTTTTTTTTTCCTTTCTAGAACTTGTTCAACTTGATGTTTACCCAGTTCCAAATTATCTGTCCTACATGGATGTTTCAAGGTAAGAAGTCAAGTCTTAGAGCCCTCTAGAGTCTACTAGAAAATTATTTAGTAATTCTAACTGAGCTTATGCACAAGTACTTTTTAATATTTTGAAAGTAAATGATAAAAAATTAATGATTTTTACTTTATTCTCTAAAATTATATATATTTGTTGATTAAAATACATTTGTAGCTCAAACCAGAGCATCAAAGTGTCAGTGTGCACACCAATTTGAACACCAGATTTGGACTTGAAAGGTGAGTGAGTTGAGGGCCATATGGCTTAAAGCTCTAATAACTCTTTTCATTATATGAATCATATTTTTGTGTCTTTCCCTGAAGTAATGTTAATTTTATTTTTTATTTTCAATTTTTTTTTTATTTTTTTAAACTCTGCCAAGTCTTAGGATAATTTAATTTTTTAAGTGCTTTATTTCTTTTGATTTCTTTCCCCCCTTGTTTAGACATATATCTCTTTGCTAAGAATTCTTAGAAAATAGTGACAAAGCCTATCAAAGTAGAAATTCTATACAACCTGCTTGGTTTTCTTAGCTTCTTTTTGAATATGCTAACCATTTTACCTTCTATGGTGATTTGCTTCTGCGGTATATTATATTTATTGCAGTTACCACAAATATTATAGTAGACTTTTTCTTAAAGGCACAAAGACTTGACAGTGTCTACAGTATGTATATATACGACGTAAACTTAAAAATTTTTAACAATGAATTATAAAATTGAAACTCATTTTGAAGGTAATTCCAAAGAAGATACACAAAACTGTTCTAAACATAGGGAGTTTGTGGCCCACTCAAGGTGACAACTGGTAACTCATTTCAGTGCTTAAATTCTGGTGTGTTTATTAACAGTCACCATGCTTTTTAATCACAACTATTGTATGATTTGTCTTGTACAGAATTTTGCCTTTTGTCTTGAGATTACACAGGCTTAGCTATTTTAATAATATACTGAATCACAATTATGCAAGACATGTCAGTATTTGGTTATTGGAAAAATATTACAGTTAAATTTTTATTATAAAGATATAACTATAAAATCATAAAGCTCTTTGAGTAGTGCTTCTTGCATTTCCTAACAACTACCCATCAGACAATTTTATTTAATTAACTTAAATCAGACATTGCCTAGTTTTCTTTCCCCACCTACTCCTCCCAACCCCCCAGCAACCCTGAATGTTATTTTCACATTTTGAATAAGAGCAGTATAGGAACAGTATAGGAATGGGATTTGCGTACATGGGTGCATATAAATATCTTGAACAGATTTTTCTTTTCTTTTCTTTTCTTTTCTTTTCTTTTCTTTTCTTTTCTTTTCTTTGAGATGGAGTCTTGCTCTGTTGCCCAGGCTGGAGTGCAGTGGTGCAATCTTGGCTTACTACAACCTCTACTTCCTGGGTTCAAATGATTCTCCTGCTCCAACCTCCTGAGCAGCTGGGATTACAGGCACACACCACCACGCCTAGCTAATTTTTTTGTATTTTTGTAGAGATGGGATTTCACCACGTTGGCCGGGCTGGTCTGGAACTCCTGACCTCAAGTGGAGTGCAATGGTGTGATGTTGGCTCACTGCAACCTCCCCCTCCCGGGTTCAAGCAATTCTCGTGCCTTAGCCTCCCGAGTAGCTGGGATTACAGGCGTGTGCCACCACACCCAGCTAATTTTTGTATTTTTTAAGTAGAGACAGGGTTTCACGATGTTGGTCAGGCTTGTCTCAAACTCCTGACCTCTGGTGATCTGCTGGCCTCGGCCTCCCAAAATGCTGGAATTACAGGCATGAGCTACCACGCCCCGCCTAGTTCTCTTTTTTATAGTAACTGTAATTACCATCTAGTGCCCAAGTAAATGTTTTTAATTAATTAATTCTTCGAGTTAACTGTTAGTGAACTTTTCATTGCCACCATTTTAAAACTATTTCTCTCCCTTCCCATTTATCCATGGCTATATTTTCATGATGACAGCTGGATTTGGGAAATATTTTAATATTAAGGGAAAAAATATAAATTTGAAATTAAAACTGTGATATGCCATTTGACTTTGTGTGTTTTTATTTTCAGTAGAACACATATTCTCCCTAAAATTGGCATAGGTCTGTAGACCCTTTAGGAAAGTCAATTTGGAGCCAGGCTTTTTTTTTTTTTTCAAGACTTTAGAGATGATACAGATTATGTAACTATGTCCTTCCTTCTTTTTAAAAAATTTAACTTTTTTTAGAGGTAGGATCTCGCTCTGTCACCCAGGTTGGAGTGCAGCGATGAGATCATAGCTCACTGTAAACCTCGAACTCCTCTACTCCAGCAGTCCTCCCACTGTAGCCTTTTGAGTAGCTGGGACTAGTGGTGCATGCCACCATGAGCAGCTAATGTTTTATGTTTTGTAGCAATGGGGTCTCGCTATGTTGCCCAGGCTGATCTTGAACTCTTGGACACAAGCGATCCTCCCATAGGCGTGAGCTACTGTGCTCTGCCTATTCCTTACTTTTTCTTTATTTCTTCTCCCTATCACAATTCTTCTTACTTCTGGAGAAAAGCGAATCCACATATTCTTTCGATTTATGCCCACGGTACTTTGGTATTTCATTTAAGGTTTTACTTATTCTTTGTAATAATTTGAGTTTAGAACCACTTTTGAGGCCAAATTCAACCAAACAATTTTATGTTCTTGCATTTAGGAACCGCTTAGAAAATGTGCCTGAGTGGGTATGTGAAAGCCGAAAGCTAGAAGTTTTGGATATTGGCCATAATCAAATATGTGAACTTCCTGCCCGGTGAGTATTGCAGATCAAATGAGAGGATCTCACAATAGATGAGCAATTTAAAAAATTGCTGATTCGGTGTTTAACTTGGTATCATAAGCCTAAAAGAGTTTGCTTTAAAAACGAATATGGTATCTTTTACCCCGTGTGGTGTCTTCAAGTTACAAACTTTCTTCATGCAGTGCAGTGAGGAGTAGAGTGAGGCTTTGACTCTCAGCCAGACTTTTCAAAACCGTGCAGGCAGTTGTGCTTGGTGGAAATTTTTAAGTAAGCCAAAAACAATCTTTGAAGCAAACAATATGATTAGCCCACTTCTGGGATCTTAAGTCTTTCAGAATCTTCCACCTCTGTTCGTTGACTTAATATGTCTACTTTAAACATAAATACCTTTTGTTCTCCCTAGACCTTAACTTTGAGGGGGAAATAAGATGGTTAGGTCATGAAACCTAGAAAGAGCAAACTAGACTAGATTCTCTTTTTCTTGTTGTGAAATTTGGGAGTAGAAGGTTCAAGAACTTCTCACTCTTAAATATGTTCTTATTTTTATTTTATAATTTTCACTTTAATGGCAAGATTTGCAAAACAGCCACATGATGACTTCTATTGTCTGTAAATACAGACAGATATTTTCAAGTTGACTAATCATGGTCAAAATATTAGTGAATTTTTAGTGACTAGCCATGCAGTTAGTAACCCTAAGAGTCTATTAGTGCTGTCCTGTAGAACTTTCTGTGATGATTGAAGTGCTCTGTATCTGTGCTGCCCAGTATAGTATCCACTGGCCATCTGTGGCTATTGAGCACTTGCATTGTGGCTAATGTAACTGAGGAACTGAATTTTGTGTATTCGTTAATTCCAATTAACTTAAATTCATATAGTTACTTGTGGTTGCCTCAACTCAGGTCTTATTATTTCCACCATTCTCAGCCAATCACTGAACAGAGGAAGTCAGTTATTTTTAGCTATGTATAGTCAAAAACATCAGTGAAAATATTGTAGAAGTATGTTACCATTTTGGAGTAAACTAAGTGCACAATCTTTAAAGGTATGTGATCACCATTCTTGTTTCCTTACCAAGAAGATACACTTGCTTGGTAAACCTAGTAAACATGTTAGAGTTCAGCTGTTCAGGATGGTAGCCCCCAGCCAGCCATTAGCCAAGTGACTGTTGAGCACCTGAAATGTAACTCGTCCTAATTGGAAGTGCTGTAAGTGTAAAATATACATGGAATGTAAAATCATAATAGTGTACATTAATTACGTGTTAAGTTAATATTTGGGGTATATTCTGGGTTAAATGAAATAATACTCTGAGAATTCATTTACTTGTTCTTTTTTTTTTCTTTTAATGTGGCTACTAGATAATTTAAAATTACATGTGGCTTATATTTGATAACACTGTGTTAGAATGTAGCTCTTATTAAAGAAATCTGAGTTATATTTTCATCCCTGAAAAGCTCTGTTAATTTCATTATGTTCCTCAGCAATACATTATACCTGTAAATATGATCCATTTGAAAGTGCTTTCTGCCCTAGAATATTATGTTGACTGACCATTTAGGTGACCCGTTGCAGCCATCACTATTAACAAGAGGGGATGTTTGTGTGTGTGTGTGTGTGTCCATGCATGGCCCTTTTAGTAAAAGAACAGGAAAAACGAAAACAGTAGGGAAAAAAATAATTTATTGAAAAAAATTTTCTACCTTATCTTCTGTTTTCTTTCTGTCTTTCCTTCTTTTCTTTTATTTTATTTTTTTCTTTTTTTTGAGACAGAGTCACGATCCTGACTCACTGCAATCTCTGCCACCCGGGTTCAAGCAATTCTTGTGCCTCAGCCTCCCGAGTAACTGGGACTACAGGCACGTGCCACCACGCCTGGCTAATTTTTGTATTTTTAGTAGAGACGGGGTTTCACTGTGTTGACCAGGCTGTTCTTGAACTCCTGACCTCAGGTGATCCGCCTGCCTCAGCCTCCCAAAGTGCTGGGATTATAGCCATGAGCCACCGCACCTGGCCTTTTCTTCTATTTTCTCTGTTCTCTTTCCCCCTTTCACCCCTCGATCCCACAGATAGCACATTGGCATCCAAGTTCTCTGTTTTGCTGAAGGCTACAAAGATATATCATATATATTTTTTATATTTGTATATATTATACATTAATATATATTTATATTTTATACATATAAACAAACAAATGCAAGATAACTGACATTGTATCCAATTTTTCCCCCCAGATTTGTTGATCTAATTTGTTCTGCGTCAGAACAGGCTTTTTGAGAATCTAAACAAATGCTTATTCAATGCAAATCCCGAATGCTCTATTGTTATTGTATTCTTGTGTGTGTGTGTGTGTTTAACACGTGGAACAAAAAGAGTGTGCATTGTTTTTCTGTTTATAGTGTTGTTCAGTTGCAAACTCTGTATAAGCCCTGTTGTTGATGTAATAGGCAAGACTGGGTACCGTGGCTCTTGATCTAGTCCCAGCACATTGGGAGGCCAAGGCAGGAAGATTGCTTGAGCCCAGGAGTTCAAGACCAGCCTGGGCAATACTGCAAGACCCTATCTCTACAAAAAATAAAATTAGCCAGACATGGTGGTGTGTGCCTGTAGTCCCAGCTACTTGGAAGACTTGAGGCAGGAGGATTGCTTGAGCCTAGGAGGTCGAGGTTACAGTAACGTGTGATTGCATCACTGCACTCCAGCGTGAGCGACGGAACTGAGACGCTGCCTCTTAAAAAGAAAAAAAAAAAATTCAGGCAAGACAATGGTTAATTAAAATTGATTTAATACTCATACTTTGTCCAAGTAAGGTATATGAAGAGTTTGACAGGGCCGGGTGTGGTGGCTCATGCCTGTAATCCTAGCACATGGGGAGGCCAAGGCGGGCAGATCACCTGAGGTCAGCAGTTCAAGACCAGCCTGACCAACATGGTGAAACCCTGTCTCTACTAAAAAATACAAAAATTAGCTGGGCGTGGTGGCACATGCCTGTAGTCCCAGCTACTCTGGAGGCTGAGGCAGGAGAATCACTTGAACCCAGGAGGTGGAGGTTGCAGTGAGCCAAGATTGCGCCATTGCACTCCAGCCTCAGCGACAGAGTGAGACTCTATCTCAAAGGAAAAAAAAAAAAAAGAGTTTGACAAAAGAGAAATTATTAGAGGCAGAAATGTATTAAAAAGGAAAGAAAGTATTTTAATGTTTAGACAGTACCCAAAAGAATTGAACTAAACCAAATAATTAGCATTCAATACTCATCCTATAGTTGATCTTTTTTATTTGGAAAAATCAAGATAAAAGATTTTATCACCTTTTAGTTATTTATGTGGTAAAGGATACGTATATATATATGACGAACCACATGCTGAAATAATAGGCTGGAGTGACCATTACAGAGACTGCCCTATGGTAATGGTAACTGCATAGATAATCTGGCCCGGATAATCTGTCTTGTCACACTGATATCTGAACCTGCCAACTTAGATATCTTTAATTGGGGCCTGTGGTGTCACAGCATTGAGACAGGTTGCTAGCATCTTTGTGAGCAAAGAAACTCCATTTGCTATTTAAAGTGAATAAAGTTATGCCCTAATGTTACGGGAATTGTTAACTCTTGTGGATTGAAGGATACATAATTTGGATTAGACAAGAAGAGTAAGTTCAGGAGACCTATTGTGCAGCATTTTAACTACAGTTAATAACAATGTCTTGTATTCTTGAAAATAGCTAAAGGAGTAGATTTAAATGTTCTCACCACAAAAAAAATGATAAATATGTGAAGTAATGCATATGATAATTAGCTTGATTTAGCCATCCCACAATGTATACATATATTAAAACATGTTTTACACCGTAAATGTATGCTAATTTTTGTCAACTTAAAATTATTTTTAAAAAATTGTGGGCATTCATGAGTGAGATCAGAATGGTGGAAAACAGGAGGTGGATGAGGAAGCCTCATTCTTTGACAGCAGATTAATAAATTAATTCTTAATTTATCAATTAGGCAGATTGATAAATTCTTAATCTAAAGTGATCAGGATGCAAATTGTAACCTCACTTTTCCCCACCCCTGAGATGTCTGTTTAAACCCAGGGCCTGTTTTATTCTCTGTAATGTTAGGGAAGTCTGAAGTGGTCATAATGTAGATTTACATTAGATTAACAAGTATTCATCATCTCTGACAGTTCTGATGACCTTCACAAGAAACACAGCCAAGCTTCCAAATGGCTCTTTAAGTCTCTCAAGAAAATAGTGGATTAAGTACATGCTGCTCTTTCAGGAGGGAGTCTCTACCTTGGTCTAGGATTAAGCTAGAAAAAAACAGAGACATACAGCCAGGGAAGTGAGGCAAAGAAGAAACAATTAGGATTGTGAAATGCAACTGAGGAAAAACATAACATTTTCTCAGTTGACATTTGTAAAAGTTTGATTGAATAACCCTTTATTTAATGCAGATCCTATAAGTAAAGACTGCTCAGCTGTGTTTATTCAGAATCTCTTATGGGTAAAGCACCCAGCATTCTGGGACAATACAAGATACAAGCCCCACTCTGGAGAAGCATGCAGCCTTTTGAAGCTTGCCTTGTGACCCTGACAAGATTAGACTGATCCCTTCAGTGGCTCCATCTATAGAACTTGCTTTTTGCTATGGAGAGCTTCTATGCTCAGTATCTGTTTACATAGTTTTTTCCTTTCTCCTTTTCTTGAGTATAGAAAGTATTGAAACACAAATAGTTCCAAGTTTGAATTTATATTAAAATGAATTTGTAGTTGCTCCAAATGAATTTGTGATTTTTGGAGAGATAATTTTAAGTATTCTACTCTTTTTCATTTTTCGGTCTTTTGTCCCTTTTTATACAGCTTATTTTGTAACAGCAGTCTCCGGAAACTACTGGCAGGACACAACCAGTTGGCAAGGCTTCCTGAAAGGCTAGAAAGAACCTCGGTGGAGGTCTTGGATGTGCAACACAACCAGCTCCTTGAGCTCCCGCCTAACCTTCTGATGAAGGCTGACAGGTAAAGCCGTTTGTCTTGTTTATCATCTGAGTCTATAAATAGTCCCTCATTTGTATCTTTGTCTTTTGTGACCTGAGACTGTATGAACTTTCTGATTATGTGTCTGTCCCAGATTTGTGAAGGAAATAGTTTTGCCAGCCACTTTACTGACCATTTTGTAGGCGATGGAGTCAGGAGCAACCTATAGATTCTTTATTAACTTTGCTGCTCTCTGGAACAAAGTAGGTTACATTGTCCATACATGTGTCATGGGGATATAGGTGTAAAACAAGGATGAGAAGTGTGCTCCTGTGTTACTACCTGGTCACATTCCATGCCAGGCTTAGCTTAATTATCTTATGATTCTCTGTTCCTGCTTTCACATGTTTGGGACTTTGGGAGATGGAGATGAATTGTCCTAGAGTTAGCTTAGTTATTGTTTTTGGTTTTTTGATTTTTTGAGACAGAGTCTCACTGTGTTGCTTAGGCTGAAGTGTAGTGGTGCGGTCTCGACTCATTGGAACTTCTGCCTCCCAGGTTCAAGCGATTCTCCTGCCTCAGCCTCCCAAGTAGCTGGGACTACAGGCATGTGCCACCATGCCCAACTAATTTTTTGTATTTTTAGTAGAGATGGGGTTTTGCCATGTTGGCCAGGCTGGTTTCGAACTCCTGGCCTCAAGCGACCCACCCACCTTGGCCACCCAAAATACTGGGATTACAGGTGCGAGCCACTGTGCCCAGCACTTACTGTTTTTTAATCAGTCCTTCTTATCTTTACCATAATTAACTCCATATTCAATTCAATTATTTTGTTTTGAAAAAGCAAAATTTTCCTAAATTACTTGTATCATACACTTTAAGCATTTGAAGAAGTTGTTTTGAATGGGAGGGAGAGGTTAATTTCAACATTAAATGAAGCTCTGTTATTTTGTTGTGATAAGTTGCCACATACAGAATTTTCTTTAAAGAAAGCTTTAAGTAACAGTGGCTGTTAACTTACTTTGGAGCATCTTGTTTGCTTCAGAACCCATGTGCATCATTCTAAAACATTTCATAGGCTGATAGCCTGAGTTATTTTGACTTCTGCTCCCATGTTTATTTTTAGGGAGTGACCATTACTTTAGAGACAATATGAAGGATCTAACTTTTAGTGTATCTCATAATGAAGACAAAAATGTTAAATTTAATTTTGCTTCTAGAAGTGCAGAGAAAAGAAGGAAATGATGACGGATCTTTTTACCTTACAAAATAAATGTTAGCTGTGTTTCAGCATGTGTCATATTATGTGGGTGAAATGGCCATCTGCAATCTCTGGCTCTCCTAAGCTGAATTAGATTTGCCACTGCATGTGCCTAACTCCCTGAGCTTACTCCTATCATAATAGCCATCGCACACTGTATTGTAATTTCTTGTTCACTTGTCTCTCTCCATTATTAGATTACTAACATGCGGCCAATGACTGTGTCTTAATTATAGTTTTATCATCAACATCTTACAGTGTCTAGAATAAAGGAAAGTGCTCAAAAAATATTTGTGTAATAAATGATAGAGAATTTAAGGAATTTCAATTCCAGGCTTTATATTTTTTTCTTCCTCATCTTTTCCATAAATCTTTAATAAGATTAAAAAAATCTTACTACAAAAATATGACTTATATTCAGTAAAGTGTCCAACTTTTAAGTGTACTGCTCAATGAATTTTTACATATTTATAGAAATAGTTGCAGGGACCACCTTACCCAGAACAAGATATAGAACATTTCTAGCACTCTTCTTTTTCCTTTTGTTCTGTTTTCCTCACTTAAAAAGAAAATTATCTTCATTGTACTTAGGTAAGTTATAACGAATTCCAACTGGAATAATTATAAAGAAACAATAGAACTATGAGAAAATGGGATTGTCATATTGTAATTGGCCAGTACTATGTCATCCTCCTGGTAAAAAGTGAAATGTTTCAAGATCATTGAAAGAATTCTTGTTTTCTGGTTTTGGGGTATTTTTTTTTTTTTTTTTGAGACGGAGTCTCGCTCTGTTGCCCAGGCTGGAGTGCAGTGGCCGGATCTCAGCTCACAGCAAGCTCCGCCTCCCGGGTTCACGCCATTCTCCTGCCTCAGCCTCCCGAGTAGCTGGGACCACAGACGCCCGCCACCTCGCCTGGCTAGTTTTTTGTATTTTTTAGTAGAGACGGGGTTTCACCATGTTAGCTAGGATGGTCTCGATCTCCTGACCTCGTGATCCACCCGTCTCGGCCTCCCAAAGTGCTGGGATTACAGGCTTGAGCCACCGCACCCGGCCTTTTTTTTTTTTTGAGACGGAGTCTAGCTTTGTGGCCCAGGCTTGAAGTGCAGTGGTGTGATCTCAGCTCATTGCAGCCTCCACCTCCTGGGTTCAAGTGATTCTCTTCCCTCAGCCTCCCAAATAGCCAGGATTACAGGTGTGTGCCACCACTTCTGGCTAATTTTTGTAATTTTAGTAGAGATGGGGTTTCCCCATGTTGACCAGGCTGATCTTAAACTTCTGACCTCAAGTGATCCACCTGCCTTGGCCTCCCAAAGTGCTAGGGTAGGCGTGAGCCACCGCACCAGGCCAGAATTATTGTTTTTACATTAATATCAAAGCACAGTGTGCAGAGACAGATCACTTTAGACATATACTTTCTGGTTGTGAATACTATAAAATTTGATTTCTTCTATGGAGAATTATAAGTTATATCATAATGGGAATCCACTTGTTCCCCTAGAGTTCTACACTGAATCTGTAGGACCAAATAAAGGAATGGATATAGGTTTTAGGAGTCTGAGTGAAATAAAAACCATTTCTGAATCTGGCCAATTCTGGTAAGTTCACGACTATTAAAGGTTATCAGTGCTAGAATTTCCAGTAGATAATAATCATTCTTTATTCATTTCCGAGAATTTGATTTTTCTCAGAAATACATTTCTGTATTTCATTTTCTGGAGACTGTGTTTTCATGTTTAGATGTGTTTAAACAAGGATTTAAGTAAGAACAATTGTAGTTTTAGGGGATTGTGATGACTCCCAGGATTGAGAACCACTGCCTTGATTGTTGACTTTGTGATTCTGTGTAGGTCATTCTAAACGTCGGTTTTTCTCATTTTGCTTATTTGTTCAGTTCTCAAATGGTACCTATATGTTGGAAAAGGAAGGATTGTGTGAACTGGAACATGAATATGAACTGGACAAAGGTGTGAACTGAGCCACTGGAAGGACACTGCTATCAGAAGCTAGGCCAGCAGTGTTAGCTAAAGGCATTTAGGCAGAAATCCCCATACAAATAGACTGACGTGTCTACAGCCAGCTGCATTTTTGAAAACAGGGGCTGTTAGGAAGAATTTGCCAGCCTTTGGAGGCTGTGAGGGGAGGACAGGGCAGGATAAATAACATTTCTGGCACAGGAGAGTTCTGGAGTAAAGGGTTGGGTGAATAAGAAGGAGCAAATATCTTGGTTTTATTTTATGAGAGTAAAACAAATGACCAAAAAATGGGAGAAATAAGAAACTGTTTCAAGAAGGCATATTCCCGTACCTTTGTTTTCCAAGCTATAATTGCTACATCTCCAGCATAGCATAGCAACTGATTTAGTAGAAACAGAAAGAAAAGTTAAGATTGTTAATTATCTTGGGCAGACAGGATTATGTGAAGGGGGTGGGATAAATTTGATTAGCTGTTTTTTTAAAACCATATTTTTATATTAGTTCACTTGTTAGAAGATAACAAAAATAACATTTTCTAATGATTTCCACCAAAGTATTGCCTTTAAAGGTTAATACTTATCCTCTTTGCACAACCTCAATACTGGAGATTTTTACCTACCTATTTTTAAAAATTTTATTACTTTTTTTTTATTGAGGCATAATTTAAACTCAGGAAAATTTACAAATATAGTGTATTTAGTTTGATGAGTTTGAGGGGGGAATGATTAAACTAGTAAACAGTTGTTGAAGTAGGCCAACCCAGAAAACATGAAATTTAAAATATTAAAGACAGTTTTTAGGAAAGATTCTTTGTGACTGCCTTCTTGCAGAGGGTTTCAGTTGTGATTTGTTTTTGTTCACATGGTTCAATGCAGCAAACATCTCACTGAGTTTAAATCACTGTGCTGGATGCGTAGGACATTGAGAAATGACTACATATAGGAATTATCCTCAAGAAGCTTACAATCTAATGAAGAGTTTAAAGTAACTGCACAATAAACTATAGTGAAAGGTAGGTTTAAGAAGGTAGAATAGACGGAAAATTATAAAGTTGGTCTAGTATAATTTAGGCTTATGGTATGATGAGCAACATTCTGTTGTTGGATGATACAAAGCTGTGTGTTTGGCAAACAGCTGCAGGCATTGGTGAAACTTTGCTTCAGTTGCCCTTCCATTCAGTTTGCTACATAATACAAATCTTAAAAATATGTAAATTCCTTTTTTTTTTTTGTGGTAATAAATTATGGTTACAGTTCTGTGTTTCGTTATATAACTGAGGAAAGGACTTTATGTGTTTCAGTGGTTCATCCTCTAAGTAGAACTTGCGCTACCAAGTGTTATGAGAAATATCAGAGAAGCATGTGTTATTGGACACAGGGCAGAAGACCACATTTTGACTCATGAGAGTTTTCCTTTGCTCTGAATTTTTCCTGCTAAAGCCAGTCTCATACTGTCAAGTATTACAGGGCCGGGCACAGTGGCTCACACCTATAATCCCAGAACTTTGGGAGGCCAGCACGGGAGGATTGCTTGAGCCTGAGAGTTTGAGACCAGCCTGGGCAACATGGCAAGACCCTGTCTCTACAAACTGAAAAAAACAAAACAAAACAAAAAAAACAAGTCAGGTGTGGTGGCCACATCTCTGGTCCCAGCTACTTGGAAGGCTGAGGTGGGAAGATCACTTGAGCCTAGGAGTTCGAGGCTGCTGTGAGCTCTGATAATGCCACCTACACTCCAGCCTGGGTTACAGAGTGTGAACCTGTCTCAGAAAATGAAAAAAAGGTATTGCAGCTTTAGAATAGTATAT